CACATCTGCCTCTGGTGTGGTGCACGTGTGTATTTCTCAGTCAGGCTGTGTACTGTATGTATCACTGTGTGTGTGTGTGTGTGTGTGTGTGTGTGTGTGCTTAGATAATACAGGAGTTTGTTAGCAAATTCAGTGAAGGATAAAGAAGAGAATATTCACATGAAGCAAACATTAATGGACTGAAATAGGCAACGTTTCAACCAGGGCTGAAACGATTGGTTGATAAATCAATTAGTGGATCAGCAGAGAATCAATTGTTTTGATGATTAATTCATTATTTAACAAAAAATGAGAAAAAGCCAAACATATTATGAATTTAATATATTTGGGTTTTGGACTGTTGCTGGGACAAAAGAAGTAGTTTGAACCTCTTCAGCTATTTGCTGACATTAAATCAATTAATTGATAATAGAAAAGAATAATCAACCAATAAATGAATGGTGTAATGGTAAATATGTTGCAGCTTTAGTTCTGACCCTCTTCTTGAGACAAATAGCTAATATTGACAATGGATAAAGTCTATTGACCTAAAATAGATTACATCATGTAGACATTAAGGCCGATCTGGTATTGGATACCATTTTGTTTTACAAAGTTAAGAAAGCAGTGTTGCCTTGCACATAACTTCCACACAGTAAGGCGTACAGCGTATTCATTTAACACTGGTACCGGATCTGTTCTCCTGATGAAAACCTGTTTAACCAATTACATTTAGGAGCTGTGGTTTCCAGACGGTATGTGTGTTTCTACACCAATTATTGGTATTTATTTCACTTTATGTTGTTGTAAAACAAAAATATGAACGGAAAAAAAAACTTTTCAGCAATAAATCAAGCTTTAACAGCACACATCGATGTCCAAACGTTATCCCAGCAATGTCAAGGGCTTTCATTTTTTTAACACATTTTGCAGAAGCCTAAAGAGGCCACTATGCGCCATCATAACTGCATGTTTGATGGTTGAGTAGCTTCGTACACCCCCTCACCCCATGTCTTTCTGATGTTAGCTTGAAGGGCCTGTCTCCGACTATTTCTGTGACTTTTTCAAACTGATAATATGACATTTATTATACACTCACTTCACGCTGTGATTGGTCAGCTGTGTGCGGAGGTGAGAAAGGAGTCAGGGTGCAACACTATGAATGTCATCCAGGAGGGACTGTCTCAAAACCCCCGTTTTTATACAATACCACATCTCCCTCCTTTATAACAGAAGGCTTTTCACTTTGCCTATCAACTATAAATGACACAAACTAGTTCTGAATGAGGACAACCCATAATGGAAGGTTTCTGTTAAAACAGTGTGGAGAAGTTCTTTAATTCGTAGCAGATTCCTGACAAAAAAAAGCAATTTCAGCACCAATATCAAACGAAACAGCAGTGCAGAGGAGCCATGCAGCAGAAGAGCAGAGACACTCCTCCTCCTCCTCCTCCTCCTCCTCCTCCTCCTCCTCTGGCCCCTCAGCTGTCCCAGGACCCTGCTGTCCAGTGAAGCGAAGCCTCCAAACCAGGGTTCTAGCTAGGAGTCACGGGAAGGGCAAGCTCATTAATTATCTCTCCCTCTCTTCCTCCCTCCATCCTCCCATCACACCCTCCCTTCATTACCAGCAAGGTTAATCCCCCCTTATCTCCCAATGAGGCTCATTTTTCATGGCTCCCTTTCTACGACACTTCCTCCCTCCCTTCCCTCGTCACCCCTTCCCCGTCCGTTTCCACCCATGACTCCTCTTTCTTCTCAGCTGCTTTTCTTCTTCTGCTTTTCTATTGCTAGTTTTGCATCATCCCACCCAGTTTGTTTTCTTCTGGTCACTCCTCCTACACTTACTTTCTATTTCCTTTGCTCTTCTCCAATGTGTCATCTTCCCATTCTCCTCCCCTCTCCTCTCCTCTCCTCTCGTCTCCTCCCCTCCCTTCCCTTCTCCCCCTCTCCCTCCTGTGCTTACCTTGAACAGGCCGTGGTGAGTGGAGAGAGTAGATCTATTACAGCTTATCACTAAAGGACAGGCCAACGCTGCACGCCGCTGAATTATGGCTGCTGTCACAGCCGCCGCCGAGCCCGACCCGTGCACAGAGCTCGCGGAGCTGTAAGGACAGGAGTGGGGAGGAGGGGAGTGGAGGAAGGGGGAGGTGGTGGGTAGGAGCCGGTATCAGGCCCCTAATTCAAATTAATGGAAAGATTTTCAGGCTTGATGCCGACCGTTTGACAGTGATTTGGCACACAATTAACCTTGTCTCCCTCTCCCCTCTGCACTCCCGTCACCTCCTCGGGTTTCATTCGCCGCCTTGTTTTCTCCGACTCTCTCTTTCCCCCTGTACCTGTCACGCTCCTTGACACAGTCTTATTGATTATGAACCAAATAGAGACGATGATGTTTTATTAGATAACTAACACTCCCTACTGTTGTGTGCCAATTGAATTAGCTCTGAATCACCGAAATCCACGTAGCGTAACACGATGTGCCTCATTTTAGGTTTCCACACAAAGCACGCCACTTGCGAATTCATGGCACATTTCAGAGGAAGTGTGAAGGCAATGAGAATACAAGCGGCAATGATGAGTTGTAGCGGTTTTATTTGCGGTGGTTAACAACATTAATGTTACATGAACATTATTTTTTGAGGAGAATGCAGCTGAACAACATGAAGAGCAGTGTGTGTGTGTGTCTTTTTTTTATGTCCAAGCTTGCTCTGTGCTCTGCAACATCTGTCCAAGCCATGATAGATTTCCCCTCGCCGACTACATTAAAAGACCATCCGTCCTGCAGCCTCCGCCTCTCAGCTAGACTTTACTCGCCTGCTTTTATTGGCCATTCCACCTTGGGTTCCAGGTCACGGCACCAAACAGCCTATGGCGCTCAAACAGAGGAGAGCACACTGGAGTGTTTAAGAGGGAGAGGGGAGGTGAACCAAGTAACAAAATAGAAAAGGATGAAAGGATGTGTGAAAGAAACTGCCTAAATATTAATAAGGCTTGAGCACAGGTATTATTTTAGTCTGAAAGAACTGCATTCAGAAAGAGAAGAAAAGTACTTCTTTAAATAACTGTGGTAGCCCGGTTGAGCCACCATCTCAAAGATAAATGAGATGAGAGGAAGGGAGCGTGTTTTGCGGTTTGCAGGTAGCTAAGTGAAGGCGTCTACATGTATCCATTATGTCAGCACAACAATGCAGAGAGTTGATGGTTATCGCGGCTTCTCTGAGACTCGACCTCAGCACATGTGACTTGGAACGAACTACAGCGGAGACAAGCATGACATGTGACGGACAGCGAGGCATGAGTCGCTGTCAAAGGGTGTCAAAGAACTTGCTGATGCGGCGTTTGTTGGGTGTAAGGGTGAGGTTCAGCAAACACCTTTAGAGGTGGAAGAGACTAACAAGTATACATTTGGATAATGCAATGGGTTTAGTATTGTCAGCCTTCTCAAAATTACCATCAGGGGTTCATCTCTAAAAGAAATAACAGAAAAGAATCATATGAGTTGTGGTTAGTTTAAGTCATCACATGCCTCATGTGCTATCCCACTGTATCCAAAGGGCCTCACATTGTGATGACTGTGCAGGACATTTCCAGCAGTGAGGATTAAACAGCTGTCGCTGTGGAACAGTCATGCTGCGTTACAGTTAGCTAATTTAGCTACTTGAATTCTGTTCGGCTTTATTGCACCCCGTGGTCGCTACAGCTTTAACAAACCCATTCATTTTATGACATTCTAGGGAACTAGATCTTGAGCGGTCTCTACAGGCTTGTGAAAGCCACATGAGTTAGCATTGACAGGTGGGTGGGTAATTTTTGTGGATAGGGAGCTGAAAACTGACTGAGACTATAAAAACATCAAGGTGCAAATACACTAAAAGTATGATGGGCACTTTCATCGAGGTACACCAAGGATGTTAATCCAGAGCGGAAAGTCGTGGTTTGAAAGCACACAAGGATTTTTAAAACAACTGAGATTGTGGAAAGTCCAAAATATGTGTTGACTTGATGGATTTGGTACTTGATGTTGTAATGCTCGGACAACATCACAGATACACAGTCAGATATACAAAAAATGAAACTTTGCAGCTCTCGGATTGATTATGTAAGAGTTTAAAATTCATACAATAATCCCTGCAGCTCAGCGTCGCAGTCACACAACATGTTTCCATTGTTCTAGTGCAGCGTCTCCTCTAATGTCCGAGTAGAGAGACAGGTAGATATAGAAGCGGTGTGTGGCCCCTGATTTTCACAGTCCACACCACAAAAACACAGCATATGTGCACGCACAACATGCACGCGCACAGAGTGTAGCTCAGCGAGTCACGCTGTAGCACCAGTTCCCCCATGACTCACGACACATCCGTGTAAAGGGCTTAACACAAGGTAGGAGGGGATAAGCAGCATGTTTAAGCTGCCTCTGCTTTGAAGCAGATGTGAGTGTGTGTGCGTGTGTGTGTGCCTGTGTTCAGTCTGTGTGTGCAAGCGCATGCTGGTGTGTTCATGCACCTCACGAGCGCCAAACCAAACGTCACGACTATTAATGTATCCTGATCAGCCCACTGAAAATGAAGCTAATCTGTTGCGAGGGAAATGGGGCAGGAATTAGCTACTTAAGTCCACCACTGGTTTCATTTTAGCATCTGAGGTATCCCGCTCATTTATCCCCCTGCATCTTTGTAGCTGCATCCCAACTCACAACAACTAGTTGTGTAGACTGATGCCTGCCGTTCTTTCAGATGAGAAATTCCGGCGTTCATTTTACTGCAAGTGATGATTGATTTCATACTTGTCACGAAGCCCTGATACACATGAATTGAAATTCCAGCCTGAAATGTGGCGTGTTTTTAGTTGATTGAAGTTGATTAAACAGGAATTTCAATTCATCTCATTCAGTTTTCAGCCAGGAATGATTTAAACTGAAACTGAATGTACTGCAACCCAAAGTATCAGGGCTACCTCCATCAAACCCTCATGCAGCAGACTCTCTTGTATGTTAAGAGTAAATGTGTTTGTTCTTCTCGTAGACCATTGTTCGAGGGAACCGGCCACCCAAAGATGCTTCCATCAACGGCCTCCTGGAGGATTTTGACAACATCTCAGTAACGCGCTCTAACTCCCTGCGTAAAGAGAGCCCACCAGGCCCCCACCAGGCTGGAAGCAGCTCCAAACCCTCCGGCAGCGGTCACCCCAACGCCCCGGAGGAGAATGGATTCAACCATTACTATTCCCGCTACTCCTGTGACCTAGACACCTCCAGCAGGGACTTTTCTCTCGATCCCAGCAAGCCAAGCTTCTCTATAGATGGGGACTGGGCAGTTGGGAGGCACTATCGATTCACCAAGCAGAATGGTCACTCGTACCCCATTCGCAGCCCTTTCTACCCGGACGCCATGCCCCAAAAATCAGACTATAGCAAGCTTCCCCCGGACTACCACACCTACTTGGAGAGCAAAGGGCGCTCCGCCGATGAGGTGGCCTCCACGGTGGGGAGCGGTGTGGGCTCCAGCGGCTACTATCGGGCGTCCGTAGGTGGCTCGTCCAGCCAGGACTACCGGGACACTTCGGTGGGCACGCCATCTCGTGCCTCGCTACACAGCGAGCAGATCAACTACCCAGACAGTGAGTGGAGCTACGGCGGCCTGCGGGACGAATACGAAAAGCGGCCCAAGAGTTCCTATGTGACGCAGACCAGCCCCACGCCGGCTATAAGGCAGCGGTCTCGCTCAGGCTCTGGGCTGCAGGAGCCAAATGTCCCTTATGCGGCCAGCGGGGCTTTCAAGAACCCACCACAGGCCCACCCATACAGCTCGTACACCTACCCTCGCCTCTCGGAGAGTCTTGGTAACTCACAGACCTTGACCAAGGTAACTGCACCAAACACAAAACCACACACTCCAGTAATTCCTTATTAAAACATGAAAACAGTTGTGACGGGGATTTTGACAGTGTTTACTCTAAACTGCAGAGCATGTTGTATAAATGGCTACAGCGGCTGAACAGGAAACGTGTTTCAACACAGCACACCCCTGACAAGCCTGTAGAAACATTTCAGAGAAAATTACACAGATGTGTCCCCACATTTAATCCCACCTCCCATGCACCTGCAGTCTCTTTCAAATATTCTGTCCTTTTCTTCTTCCTCTCTATGTTTCTAGTTCTCTCTCATTCTCGCTCTATACATCTTTGCCTGGCCTTCTTGCCAGATAGATGGTGTCAGCTATTAGTCTGCTCTTCCCTGAAGGAGGCTGGCGCAGCCACATACAGAATGAACCCTCTATATCGGCCACTGTCTCTGCACACAGATCAATTAATGCTCTTGCTGACCATCGACCAGAAAGCTTTGAATTACAGAAGAGTAACAGACGAGACAAAGAGAAGCACAAAGAAAGAAGTGAGAGACAATGACATGGCAGGAAGTACGTGAGGAAAGAAAATATGAATACCAAGACCAGAGAAAGCACATGCAATAATCTGCCATATTTTGATAGTAATTCTGTGGTTTTATGTGATCAAATTGTATAAAAGCTAAATGCACAAAAACAACAAAGAAAAAGTGCAAAGAATAAATAGAACATTAAGCAAAAATATGGTCACAAAAGAACACTTTTAGCATTCATTTACGAGAGAATATGGATTTAGCTAGTTTAAATATCTCGGGCATGATGTTCCTGAGGTGTCATGAGCAAACTAATAATAAATAATAATAAAGTAATAATAGTATTTCTGTAATAACAAAGAGGATTAAATTACAGTATGGTCTTGCTTTGTAGGTCCGACCAAATTTGTTAGAATCGTTTTATTATCAGAGCTGTGTGTCATGTGCATAGAAGTTATATTATCATGTTTGCCAAGAGGCTACTTACAGTGTTATGTGTGTAGAGAATAAAACCAGACACAGATATGAATCTTAACCAGTTCCGTACGTCATCGTATCTTTGTTGCTCCTAACCAAAGATGAACAAACCAGAAGATTTCGCAGATTACCACCTCAAGATGATAAAAGTATACATTTTCAAGTAAGATTATACTCAGCAGATTGCCAGCAACATATTATTGAAGGGGGAAAAAAAAAGTACAGTTAATATAAACGTACAGATTGGATTGTTGGTAAAATTACCAACGATATGACGTGCTATTTATGTCATTTTTCATAGCATAAAGCTTCCCATCGGGTATGATACAACTGCACTGTAAGTATGTTGGCTTTGGGAGAGCGTGATGCAGGCTGTGATGTGCTCCAGTGGAGCGGAGGGAGAGACTGAGATACCCAAGAGATCGTTCTCCGACATCAACAAACAAACCTTCCATGCATTAGTGGCTGTATAATGTAACCATATGTTTCCAATTTACTCATGGCGGTTCTTTCGTAGCAGTGTTATGAAACAGAACTGCATTTGCTAGGGTGGAAGATAGTAGGGGGTAAAGGTGCTGCAATGCAACAGCAGGGGGAAGTCACAGAAACAGCGGCCATTCTATGAGGCGCTCTTCATATCATTCCTTTATATATTCTTTAAATCATTCTCCAAAGCTTTCAGTGCCACATTAGGCCCATTAGAGGGGTGTGTGTACCGCTATCACAGCTTCTCCACAATCCCTGCCTCGCGTGCAGTGACACCAGGAGCTGAGAGGAAAACTGGGCTTGCTGATGTAGATCCCAGGGTGCCTTGATGAAAAACCATTTAACCTGCATGCTTCAGTAAACAGCACACATAGTGCCACGGAGAATGCAAGAGTAGCAGGATTGGAAGTGATGCAGGAGAAGGTCATTTTTCTTACATATGGTTTATTATTTCCACTTTTGGAGTCGTTGTGCTTGAGGAGGCACATTTGCTTCCCAGAAAACAGAACGTGTGTCGGGAATGCAAAGATTTAACGGGATGCAGTCACGCGCAGAGCAGAGCTTGTATTTTGATCCGAAAAGATATGAATTCCATTTGACTATATTAAGTGTATTGTTAGTATTTGGTTTGATGTTCTATGTAGGTATTTTCGTCAAATCTTAAATCAAATTAAATATAGGCCATAGTGAAGAGTGGGCTGAGGAATCAATGCATCCTAATTTGCCTTGTGATATTTGGGGATTTCGCAGCAGTGGTATGAAAAAAAGAAGAAACAAGGAGTCATCTGGCAGCTTAAGAATCACTATTCTTCTCGGCTCATGGACCTTGTAACAAACCCACCCGTCTCTCTCCGCTCTCATTCTCTACCTTTTCTTCTCTTTCCCTCATTCAGCCCACTCACACCACTGAAGTAAATCCTTCTTTTTCCCTGCTGTTGTTGGGAGCCAGTGGGGATGTAACAGTAGACAGCACAGTGACTTGGCCACACACAGACACACACACACACACACACACACACACACACACACACACACACACACTTCCTCACTCTTTCCTCTCTCTCTCTCTCTCTCTCTCTCTCTCTCTCTCTCTCTCTCTGTGTTTTGTGGCGAGTGCGAGCTCAGTGCCGCAGCTCTCGGTGACAAATTGATGTTGCGGCACTTTCCCTTTCTGCAGCCTTAGCATAAAACTGGCCGAACGATGTTCCACCGCGGAATTCAATTTCACAGTTGAGTTAGGTTGTTGATTACCCTGCCAAACTCAGATTAATGCGCGTTTAACCAACATGGATCAGGAGACCCCTGGCTGACAGCCAGCCAGCGGTGCCGTCCAACGGTAGAGGAGGGGGGGGGGGCGAGACTGGGCCATCCTAGCAGCACCCCCACCTGCCTGAGAGTGATTGATTAAAAGAGTTCACACCATGTAATTATACACCATCCCAACATATCAGGGCTCCTCCTCCTGCCCTGTCTATGCACGTGTGTGTGGTGTGTGTGTGTGTGTGTGTGTGTGTGTGTCTTTGTTGTGAGTGATAGGCACAGAGAGAGAAACAAATAAAAGGAAAGAGAAATAGGGGGAGTGTTTTTATTATTAGTGGAAAGGATAGTAATAATTAATCTCGGCATGGTGAAGGCAGCTTGATCCACTACTGTCCGTACAGTCCACCCTGCACTATTGATATTTAGCTATTACGCCGTCATCTTCTTTGTATTTGGAAGATAAATTGAATCAAAATAACATTATCTCGTTATACGCCTGCTGCAGTCCATTCAGTGCTCTGCTGGTGTTAACGTGACTGATTGTCATAGGCTGTAAATATACCAGCATGCATGCATCGATTTTTTTTTTACATTACTTTGCTCTGGCCAGCCATAATACTCTACATTAGACATACCAATAAGGATACCGCCAGCATTTTACAACTAGTACTGAATTATGAAATTACTTCTGGTGTGGTCATTTGTAGTCAAAGGTGTATGTGTGTGAATGTATTTGTATGTGTGTATGTCAGGCTGAAAGGAGACTCAGGTGTTTCTAGGGCCTTATGGAAGAGCTAGGTGTGTCCCACATCCGGATGCTCCCTGGGCTCCTGGTTGATGAATGGAGAAGTTGAGGAGCATCGTAGGGTGGTAATGATAAAGTGTGCTCCCTGTCCTGTGGGCTAAATGTCCTCTGTTAGGCCTGTCAAGGGCTAATGTACCTGCAGACGTCCCTGGAAGTACAGCTGGCATTTCACTGCGCACATGCATTTACATTGATGCATCCAACACAGTAACATCTTCCAGTAGTTTATGCTTACAGTACACACACAGTTTCAGAGCCTGTTTAGCTGGACAGTGTTTTTTCTTCAGGCTTTGATCCACCAATCACATAACCTTGACCGTGTTCTGTCTTCTCCAGGGTGACTACGAGCGTCCTGCGCGGGACGGCACTCCCCAGGTTACGGGGGGTGACACCTACCCCCGAGGGCCTCTCAAGCAGCCTCAGAGCCACATCAAGCCGCCGGGCTACCCTCCAGCACACCTGCCCTACCCTCCTGTCTTTCACCATTACAAACCTTCACCCTACCATCACCCCCCCTCCCAGCCCAGCCCACCGTACACCCCTCAGGTACAGTGTGTTCCCCGTATTTTGCACACAAATTTGGGTTTTTGGGCCATCGTCAGCTCAAAAGTCCCTTTTTCCCAAATACATTTTATGTTGGAAAATATCAATATCTCTCTGATTCTCTGTCACTCTATGCATCTGTGTCTGTTTTACACACAGGGGGCCTACTCACAGCCTTCATCACCCTACATCCCCCCGGGGGCCTACCCGCCTCCTTCCTGGGGGTCCAGCTCGGACACTCAACCCTCCAGAGTCTCTCATGAGCAATTCAGAGCTGCACTCCAACTGGTGGTCAACCCAGGTGGGAAATGGACAATAAATAAGTGACACCGCTTCGGCTTACATAAACCGCTTTTATTATTCTGTCGTGACATCGAAGTTGAGCTACTTTTGTGTTCGCCAACAGGCGACCCTCGGGAATACCTGGACAGCTTTATCAAAATCGGCGAGGGCTCCACAGGCATCGTGTGCATCGCCAGCGAAAAACACAGCGGCAAGCAGGTGGCTGTGAAGAAGATGGACCTCAGGAAACAGCAGAGGAGAGAGCTACTCTTTAATGAGGTGCGAATAACTGACAATCCTGGATGTTATTGGTTCATACAACGCATTCACCGTAGGTCTGGTTTTGTATGTTACGCGTGTGAGAATTAGTGGAGTTTTTATTCATTTGGAGGCTTGGTGTTGGATGTTACACTGCTGCCGTAGGTCAGCTTGACCCACACACAGCTTGACGCCCACTCCCCACATGTGAGATCAGAGCTAACGTTCGTCAGATTGCTGAGAGCTCAAACAAGGAGCAGCAGCAGAGATGAAAGTGCTTTAAATAGCATCATTACACATTGGCTTCTGCCACATTGATATAAATATATCTCACCACCACACTGCAAAACAGCAGCTTGCCTACTAATGAAAAAAAAAACACAAGTTCACTTTGCTTCTATTTCCTCGACACATATCCGTGGCAATCAAACCACGAGCACATTTCTACATGTGTAATTGCATTCGTCTGCAAAAAAGGAAGTCTCACTGAAAACCCCGATGAAAGGAAATGATTCATAGCCGTCTCTGTTCACGGTATGCAAACTATTGAGGAATGAGCTCCATGTCATTTGCACTTGGAAATATTAAATAAATTGAAATGAATTATATTTGCAGACAAACTTCATGATTGCTTGTTCAGCGGAGAAAATGTGAATTGAGTGAAGGGTAGACCTTGGATTTCATTTATCATGCAATATTGCACTGATCCTATTTTGGGTCTGTGTGTGTGTGTGTGTGTGTGTAGGAGAGAGAGAGAAAGAAAGCATGCATGCATGCATGTGTTGGGAACTAATTTGCTTTGTGTAATCTTATTCATTTCTGAATGTAATCCTTTTATAGTTAAGCCGCCAGAACACGTTCACATTAGAACAAGTTAAATGAATAGATAATTAAAGATGACACGACTAAATTGAATACATTATTGAAATAGTATATGATGTATTTGTAACATATGTATTGCATTCATAACATGAATCCATATATTTGATTTAGTGTATCAAAACAAACAGTTTTGAATTTAGCAATTATAATTGTTATCATTATTATTTTTGTTATTATTATTGCTGTTTTATTGATAATAATAATATTCATAATAACAGTGTTACATGAAGATATACAGAATAAGGTCATTTCCTGTGTGTCTCTGTGTGTCTGCGTGTTGTAGGTGGTGATCATGAGGGACTACCATCACGAGAACGTGGTCGACATGTACAACAGCTACCTGGTGGGAGACGAGCTGTGGGTTGTCATGGAGTTCCTGGAGGGCGGGGCTCTCACTGACATTGTGACTCACACCAGGTGACTTGAATATCGAACATCAGCAGAGTGAAAATACCACCAAGACCCTCCATACTTTGAATGCAATTATTAAGATCCTTAAATCTTAAAAGCTGCGTTGTTATAAAATCACAAGGTCATTTAATTCGCTCCACACGTCACAACGATTGGAGGATTTCACAAGACAACACAGGAGAAACCAGCAGACTGCATCCGGTCGTGCGTTTGATAGTTTTTCAGATTATTGTTCTCCAACTTTTTCCTAATTGCCTCTCTGATGTTGAGTCGTGTTTCTGAGCCGCCGCCTCATTGTTTTAAGCTTACTTTGTGCTTGGTGTTTAATTACAGTCATTTGCGTGGAGTGTCAGCATTAGCGCTGTGCGGTGTCGGGTGCTAATAACACGCTTTGGTGAGGCTGAGCACCGCTGCTGCCGCGACGTGTTCTGAACGGTCTCCCACACAGATGTTTGTCTGTTTGTGTGTTGTGTGTGTGTGTGTGTATGCATGTGTGTGTGTGTGTGTGTGTGTGTGTGTGTGTTTCAGAGAGTTTCAGTTCACACATGAGCGCTTTTAGAAGTACAAATGAAAATCTCAGTAAAGAGGACATTATTGGGCACACGTGTTCTCTTTTGCTCGCCCCTTTTTCTCTTTTTCAGTTTGTTTAATTTTAAGTGGAAGTAAACGTGTACCTTTCTATGTTTTCAATAAGACACTCAAGACACAAATTTCAACATCAGAACAAAGACAAACAAAGAAAGAGGAAACAACATGTTTGTTAAATTGATCTTAGTAGCTAAAACATCCTTATTAGATTTAGTTTCCTCAGCAACCACACAAACTGCCCACTTGATTTAATTATCAGGCATTTTACGACGCCATGGTAATAATATACGGAATATGGGAGTGTGTCTTTTACTTTATAATTTCAGCCATATTTGTCCAGGTGACGGTTTTGTGCTATTTCTGTTAAGCCTTTTGTTGTGGAAATAAATGCTGCTCTGCCTCGCGTCATGCAAGCCTCATCAGCATGAACACACACACACACACACACACACACACACACACACATACATCTAACACACACACATCAAACACACACATGCAAGTTAACAGTGGTAGAATGGGCGTCCGTCTTCCTGAACTATTGCAATCACGTTCAGATTTCAATTATACTTAAGAGTTTGTTAATGAGCTTCACTTCACAGGGATTTTAACCAATGTAAGTGCAAAAGCAAATGTGCGTGTGTGTGTGTGTGTGCGTGTGCGTGTGTGTGTGTGTGCGTGGGTGTAATTCTCCTCCCAATAACAACCTTTTCAGGCTCATTAGAAATGTTTTTCACTTTGTGTTTGAAACAATTTTCTATATCAGCGATCCTGTTTTCCATTCCAAGTGTGTGTGTTAACTTCTGTGTGTGTGTGCGTGTGTGTGTGTACGTGAGGGATGGAGGGGGTGGGGTGCAGTAAGAGGTGGATTGTTTTTGCATACACGTCTCCATCCCGTTCACTTTGAGTTAGCCAGTTGTTTTTCATCAGCAGAAGGCTCATTTACCTCTTGTGATTGTAAATGCATACATGTGTGACTATAAAATCTGCTGTGATCTGCAGTGTGTATGTGTGTGTGTGTGTGTGTGTGTGTGTGTGTGCGTGTGTGTGAGTGTGTGTGTGGCCTGGGGGTTGTTTCTCATAATGCAAGTTTATAAGTGAGTCCTCCAACAATGAGATGTTTTAAACTGAGCAATGAAATATAAAAGAGAGGTGTGTGTGTGTGTGTGTGTGTGTGTGTTGAGAGAGTTAACGATGTATACATATGTATATATGTAGACTATGCGTGTACTCTATATGCATATGAACATGTACACGTACTACATATTTATGTTTCCTATGCTCGCAAATGAGCATTTCTCTATTTCTGTACATGTATGTGACGGCAGCTCAGAGCGCGCACACTCATGAACACACGGCATGGCCCGGCCAGATGGGTCTGGATGTTAATGTTCAGTGGAGCTGGGAGTTTCTGTGTGAGCTCAGTCAGACGCACTGCATCGCCCTGTCTCTCCATATGGGACCCCCCCCCCCCCGCCTGCACATCACAGCTCCAGTCGCTGCCGGCTACAGGGGGGCATTTCTGCTCCATCTTAGTTGAGTTGAACTGTAATCTCTTTAATATTACAGCAAAATATGGAACAGTGATATTTCTACCACCAAAACAAAGTGTAAAGCTAAATTATATCTTCTTTAGGAATTGGCTGAATGGTCCTTTTGTTGTGTGACGTGTAGATTTATAAATACAAATTGATTCAGTACAATTGATTTAAGACATTCAACTTCTTTTTTTTACTGAAAAAAACTAAAATCTGATTTCCCTCCCTCACAAAGCACTTATCTTACTTTTACCCTTCCCACAATGCATCGCAAAGAAAGAAAGCACAGGAAAATGACATAACAACACATGGATTAAAACAATAAAACTACTAAAAGAACCTTGATACTGTAAGTAGCTATCAAATAAATATCACAATCAGTTTGTTTTGACTTGGATGACATTGGCTGATAAAGTTATCATGAATGTTAAGTTACTATTTACTTCATCACAAGAGAGTGAATCAATAAAATCCAGGTTAACAAAAAGATACATGTGTATATACAGTATAATATGACTGAATACTTCCATATCTATCTCACCTCACCTCAGCCAAAATAAAAACTGCAATAACCTTCCTCTTTTATGACTCCCCCTCTGTTTTTGTACAGTCCTTAAACGCCTCTCACATTTACAGGTTGTCGGGTTTACAACGCCTGAAAAACATTGAGAGTCATAAAGTATCCGCTCTGATTCATCCAGTTATTTTGTGTATTTCTGGCCAGATTCAATGTTTCATATTGCAAGTTGTCTAAACTGGCATTGCTGACAAGTATTTATGTGCGTTTCTCCTCGCAGGATGAACGAGGAGCAGATCGCTACGGTGTGTTTGTCGGTGCTGAGGGCTCTGTCCTACCTGCACACGCAGGGCGTCATCCACCGCGACATCAAGAGCGACTCCATTCTCCTGACCAGTGACGGCAGGGTAAGTGCACACGAAGAGCGCAAGTGTGTTTCGATATATTATTCATTCACACTCCTCCCATTGGGATGTTATTAAACCCGGATATCCCTGTTACATCAGGTATTAATAACCAATGTTACTCCCTTGTTCCTGTCACTGATGATTTCGGTCTAACACACACACACACACACACACACACACACACTCTCTCACTGACCTTCTCCATGGGTGCCACTTGTCAACAGCCAGTGCCAGAAACTCATCATCATCAATTACCACTCGTGCCCCAGTAATTAAATCCCGCCTAATGCCTCCTAACGAGCTGATAAGACGTGATTAATTGAAGGCTAATTAACAGCTAATACGGGAGATTAGTGTCTTCTATGAAAGCGCTTCCTCACAATGGGTCAGTGCACTTCTTGACATCAGACACAGAGGTTCTGCACTAATACAATCTGTACTGTATGTCCACACACCTGCACGATAGAGAGTGGAACCTGAAGGTGGCGCGTTGTTTGCTCGTGTGTTTTGCAGATCAAGCTATCAGACTTCGGCTTCTGTGCCCAAGTTTCCAAAGAGGTGCCCAAGAGGAAGTCACTCGTGGGCACGCCCTACTGGATGGCACCGGAGGTCATCTCTAGACTACCTTATGGGACCGAGGTGAGGACCACACACACACATAGATTAACAGTGAGAGACTTCACAGCGGACTGTATGATTGCATACTGTTTTCGTGTATCCAGGTGGATATCTGGTCTTTAGGCATCATGGTGATCGAGATGGTGGACGGAGAGCCGCCCTACTTCAACGAACCCCCTCTGCAGGCCATGAGGAGGATACGAGACAACCTGCCCCCTCGGCTAAAAGAGTCGCACAAGGTGCAAAAAACTTTCATTGAACAATATTACTTTTCTATTTTAGTTTGCTTCTTTTACATTACATCAAATGTGGTCTAAAAATCGACAGATTTGTCTATAAATCTGAGTCTGGAAAAGTATGTAATTTGTGAAAGTGTGTGGGAACCCCGGGACTAGAATTAAAGCGTTTCATCACGTCCTCAGGTGTCCTCGGTGCTGCGGTCCTTCCTGGACCTGATGCTGGTGAGGGAGCCCTCGCAGAGAGCCACTGCCCAGGAACTCCTCCAGCACCCCTTCCTCAAGCTGTCTGGACCCCCGTCCTGCATCGTGCCCCTCATGAGACACTATCGCCACCGCTGACCTGCTGGCCCCCGAAACCTGCCCTCCTCCACACAAAAAAAAAAGAAAAACCCCACACATACACACACACTACCAGGGTGGCACTGCCCTCACCCAGCCGAACTACCCCACCACCCGGTGGAGCGCCACTGACACTCACACCTGTAACCGTGAAGTAGATTAGCTAGAGGAATATCTAAGAAATTACACTTTTAAAAAAAGACACACGACAGAGAAAAGAAGAAAATAAAAAAATCCATTTTGAAACTATGAAGTGGAGTAGAGGAGTGCCAGAGGAACTCACTAGACGTCCAGTAGAAACGTGTGGGCTGGCTCGCCTCGTCTTCTCTCTTCCTAGACTGTGAGTCCTCTGCTCCACGTAGAGTTGTAGTAGCCATCGGCGAGAGCTCCAGAGGGGAGTGGCGAGCTGCTGACGTGGTGGAGGGAACCTCGGGGTGCGGCGCTCTGCTCCAGACCAGAGCAGCGGAGGGCAGAGCAATCGGCTGCGTGCGGAGAGGTGGTCTTTGACTGGTGCTGACTGTTGGACGGCTGCTGGTCAAACAGAGACGAGCTCTCTTGTATCTCTCTTCTCACACACTAACAGTGAAAATGTATTTTAGAGAAACTTGTAAGTTTTTCTGTACAGTTTTGATAATTTGCAGTATTTTATCGTGTCGTAACCATTGTGATATGAGCAGTATTAAATAGAGTTTCTGCAGAGATCTTTCCTACTGTTTATAATCCAGTTTTTGCTTAAAGATGTAAGAAATATCCCAAATAAATCCACCTAAACCTAACTGTTACTAAAAATACTAAATATATTTATTATCTTACATTTGTAGACAGAACTTCCATTAAATGTTGGGAAAAAAGGGTAATGTCAGAATTTTGTATGACGTTTTAAAGTATTTATTTATTTATTGGAATAGAAGGATTCTTTTTTTTGTAGTGTGGCCTTTTTTGTTTTTGTTTTTTTGATTTTACATTTCTAAAACAGACAGTGCTATCAGTTGTTATATAATCCAAGCAATACCCCGATCCTATTTATGAAGCCCTGTATTTATGATACTGTAATTACACCATGCATTTAAATGTAGCAACGAAGGAGTGGATTTGACTGGGGAGGTAAAAGAAAAGAAAAAAAGATTTACTCTACGCAGACCTGTTTTCTTTTATATTAGGAGTCTCATCCTGTTTCTATAAATGCCAAGAGGCGCCCATCCAAGACGCCCGCATCCCGCACAGATTTTAGGATGCCGATAAAATGTCTCGTTTTCTACTCACATCCTCACTGTCATCATCTCACTCCTTATCCTCACCTCAGTCAGACACACTACTCGCTATCACTGGAACTGTGCTGCCATTCTCATCTCTGGTCGGACCGGGAGAACAGTGTAATCCTCCTCCCCGCATCGTTTTTTACCCATCATTCACTGTGATATGTAAATACGACTGTGCATACGTGTGTGTGTGTGTGTGTGTATGTGTGTGTGTGAGTGTGAGTGTGTCTGTGTACGTCAAAGAGCAAAAGAGGTAGAGCGTGTTTATCTCTGTACAACATCTGAAAGTGTGTGTGCGTGTGCTGCTGGCTAATCCTTGACAATGTGTCAAGACTTGAATGAGTAACACTTATCTGTGGTGTTGGCTTGTACAGTGATATTGCATGTTTGTTATCAGTGAAGCTGGTTTCAATTAAAAAATGCCCATAAAAACATTGAGATGTGTTGCATGGATTTTTCCTTCATCACCCTCTAGTCTCCTCTTCTCTCTCTCTCTCTCTCTCTCTCTCTGTGTCTCATATCAAGCAGAGATTCTTTTTTTTAACAGCACACTGTCAGATTATTCGAGGGAGTCCCTTTCAGCCATCAACAGTTTTATTTTCTCTTTGTTGTTTGGGTCTTCCATATTCTCTAAATTCAACAGTTCTCATTTCCAACTATTTCACCCTAACTTTACCTCCGAACAGAGAAGCAGAAAGACACGTCCATGGATCGGCGTCGCCATAATATATGAGGTTATTTCTCTTTCTTCCCTCTAAGCCATTTCCCTCTGAAACACTGTAATGGGATATTGATTTAGCTTGGACAGAGGATGGAGCTTCTTTCTCAGAGAAAGAGAGAGATACCTCTGCTGACGGCCCAGTAAATAAAAGCACAAGTACTGGGGGCCAGTGGGACTGCAGGACATGACTGAGCATATCAAAACTGAAGACTGTAGAGTCACTGAGTATTAAGGTGACTAGTGTAATACATCCACACATTCTCAACAGGCTAACTGCTCCAAACACAGGAAGTCAGCATCACATTAAAGGCACAGGTGACTCAAGACGGTGAATTTGTTCTTAAAGAGGTGCGTTGTTGGTCTTACACGAGCTTCAAATGCCATCATTATACATATATTTTTATAGATTATAAATCATTTGTATTACCCTTTGACACCTCACTAAAGGAAAAGCACAGGTGTAATTAATATCATTAATAGCTTCATTCAGGGCAATGTAATTGAAGACGATGAGGTCATGCTCTGTGATTTTAAGGTGTTTTTTGAGTCATTATTTTTAAATGTGTCTGTTTTTAGGCAAAGCAATTAAGTTGAATTAAAATTAAATAATAACACATTTAGTGTTTCTTTCTCAAAATTGTATTTTAAGCAGTGTGGAGAAGTCTCTAGTGGGTTTTGACCATATGACTGCATGGCTCAGCGGCGTTGTTTACCGGGTCACTTAAACGTAACACGGGCTGTCATCATTAACGATATTTGTTACACCTGTGTGTGTTTCCTGCTACATCAAGTGTCTGAATATCTGCCGGGCAAAAGGTCGCGGACGCTGGATTTTTACACACATTCGTCAACGAGTTTTATGATAGACAGAGAGAATGTCAAAATATGCAATATTATGATTTTTATTTACCTTTTTTAAAGCTCAATTAGCCAGTTATTCTAGGGGGAAATGGCGACTTCCGTGTGTTGCGCGAGGACTGTTGCTGGAGAAACCTAAACCATGTCACCGTTCAAAAGCTCTTGAAACGTGTTTCAAAATGAGGAGAAAAACGGATATAAGCCAAACAGTGAACACCCGGAGACTGAACACACTGAACACACAGCGGCTCCATTGTTGGAAATGAATGAAGCTCAGCAACAGGTGAGTTGTTTTTAATTAGGTAAGAGTTCAGGCTTTTATTTGACCCGAATCACTTTCTGACCTCATGTCTTTTGATTTTAATTATTTTTTCATTTACATTTGAGAGTGTTAAACATAATTTGAATAAACAGAATGAACAACCGTTCAGGAGACATGAGGCCCTCAAAGTTTATCCATATTGGACGACCACTCCACTTAAAAACACATCTTCAAAAATAAACATATCGGTAATGTTTTCTGTCTATTGGAAAGCTAAAGAACAAGGTTATCCACAATTTCAGTGCTTTGGGTCCAAAATATGTAAATGTGCTAATTATGTGGTTTTAATTTACACGTTCTACGCATAAACTCCAATGTTTTGGGACACTTCTCTACATCTTTCCAACTGCAGACTTCCGAGTAGATGGTGGGTAGGTCAGTCTTAACATACAAATCCTTAATGTTGCAAATTATTTTCTGCTTCATCTCAAATTTTACTTTAGTTTTTCTATTTCACTAGCAAGGTGCATTCTAGAGTGGTCATTGCAGACACACTGCTGTATTATGCGATTGAATGAGTGCAAACCAAAATTGCCTAACTCCCCGTTTATGGGCTGTAAGGTGTTGTAAAAAAAACCCACTTCATTTAAACTCAAAAACAAGCAACGACGGATGCAGGCAATTGGCTCGAGGTCATCGTATAAGATGTGTGATACAATCTTGCCAAAAACAAAATTAACCTCACCAAGCTGCTGTCTGTGTAGCAGCGACTGAGTGGCAGTGACGTACTCAGCAGTGTGGTTACTGGTCATCCCATTAGCTGTTACACACCGTCCAAAACACTAAAAGTGAGTAAAATGTCTTCCTTCCACTGTCTCTGGACTCAGGTTAGCGGCTGGGGGTCAGCGATGCAGCTGCGTTATCACTAGGATTGAGTTTAGTGAATGAAGAGTCGGAGTTGAAGATGTGTCGTCCATTATGAGTCAGCTTTGAGGGCCCCTGCCTCCTGAATGGTTGGTCATTATGGTTAATCTAACTCTCTCTCTTAGGGTATCATATAAAATCTTGTTCAAATTGAAAAGGATGTGGTCGGAAAACTTTTCCAACGATGACGTGTCTCATCTGAGCGGAAGAACTAGATGAAGGGCTTTGACTTTGATGACTTGTGACTGAGGATGATGCATGACGCCCACGCTGCTGAAACAAATGGGTGTAGCTGACACAAATGCTCTATTTATTTCCAATTAGAGTTTTTCATATTGCATTTCCTTCAAAGTCCCAGAGTCAGTCGACAAAATCAATACCTCATCCCTGTCTCCTCCTCTGACGGGAGTATCAGTCACCTTTTTTAATCATTGTGCTATTTCATTCATAGTATTGTTACATTTTTTTTTTTTTTTTTTTATGTAAAGGTAAGGTTTAAAAGATTAAAGACGGTGTGCTGTAGTAATGTGATAGATAATAAGAATAACTTGACAGGTGTGTAGAGATGATTCCAGCAATTTATTTCACTGAACAGAAGAATACCGCACAAGATTGCATCAGCAGAGGTTTATGCATAGACTTTGATTCTGAAAATATTATACACATATTCTTTTTTTCAATTTGATAACCTCTCTTTTCATAAACACTCTCATATGGCATTCTGATAAAATTCTTCCCTTTTTAGTACAGAATTTTTGTCAGATGTTTATGCATTTCTTTCTTCCTTTTTTTGATATGTTCCATACATCGGTGTGGAGAAAAGATTTGTTGAAGTCAAAGCAAGAACGTCGCAACTCTGAATGCCACTGCACTGCACACACTACAAGACTGGTCCACTGTGAAACACTATGGCTGCATTCAAAACATTCAATAAACGGGATTCTTGAACAAAAATAAAATCAAGATCAGCAAATACAGAACCAACAATAGGTATTCAAATTATTTAGCAGCACTTTCAGAGAGAGAAAGAGAGGAGGAGACAACAGTTGACAAATGACAGCAGAAGCTCTGGCAAATTCTGACATTTCTTTCAAAGACAAGTCTGATAAAAGTCCCAGTAATGTTATGGAAAAATAAATGGGTAAATAAACACTGTAACCTCAAGTTGGAGATTTTCAGAAGCCCACCAGTCTGAACAAAAATCTATTATATTTTCATAAAAGCATAAATTTCTTTTCATTAAAATTCTAATTACTGTAATACAGACTATGAATTTATAGCATTAAGATTCAATTCAGCAGCCGGGAAAATTAGGTTTTGGTGGGTTTACCCTGCAACTACATCCATGCTAGGCCCCAAGCCGTCCCCTTAACTCGTGTTTTAGCTGTTCAGAAGTTCCAGTAGGCCTTCAGTACAGGCGGCACACATTTCTCCGTCAGGGATTCAGTCCATCACGTGGTTCTTTCCTCTGTGGTGTTAGGCCTGGGACATCGAGGAGACAAGTCCTTTTTTTATTTTATTTTTCAGGTTAGCTTTGGAGAGAGCTGAGGGAGCTGCTGGCTACATGTTCTTGTACATGGAGCGATCTCTGGGCAGCTGGGGCAGCTGGGGCGCCGTCAGCTTCAGGTGGAAGTGGTAGACGGTGAGTGTGATGACAATTATGAGGGCCAAAATGAAACCCAGAATGAGGGGGAGGGTCTCCTCCAGGCGCTCCCGCTGGTCAGTGATGCACTTGTAGGCTGCAAAATCAGGGAAATAATGAACACAGTCAGTATGCAGTGGTGACTGAACATGACTGGCGAGGGTCCCAGAAGATATTCTGTAGATTAATTCATTTCCTTTCGGGCCGGATGATGATTCAGTATTCTTTTCTAATGCCTTTCAATGGAATCGGATTGAGGCGATATGATCAGACCATGTTTTACAAAATGATGTCTAAATTAGTGCTGCAGCACATCATTTTATTGCTGTTAAATGTTTAACTGTTTACATACTTGATTAATTGTTCAGCATATCATTTTTCCAACAAGGTAATGCCTAAGGTAATGTCTTCAGATGTATGTGTTGTGGGGTCCACAACCCAATTATGTTAAGTTTACTCTTGTGGAAAAATTCAAGAAACAAGCAAATATTCACATTTTAGAAGCTGGAACTAACTAAAATGCTTAAGTTTGAGTTTTTTTTTCCTAATGCATTTGAACCTCAGTGTGATCATTTGAATGTCTTTTATTTAAATATGTGTGTGATATCGCTCAGTCCTACAGTCTTGGTTATCATCCGTAGGTGTAGATCTTGGTATGAACCACACTCATCATGTGGCCCCTTTCAGGCTTCAGGATTGGTCGATGGAGGTTTATGTTCCGTATGTGCACCATGCATAGTTGTGTGCATGCATCTGTGAGTAGTATGAGTGAAAAAAGGAGGGAGCGTCTGTGTGTGTTTGCACAGAAGCAACTGTTGAGGTTGTTGTTCGCTGAATGACACATTTCACACAGATGCTTCTTCTCTCTTTCAGTTGTACAATGAGTCGGTCACTGTTTCTTCCCCTCTATTATGTGTTCAGTTAAAGGTTAGCGTGCACACATCTTTTCATGCATGGGTGTCGTTGGGTAGTTACGACAGGCCCTAGTGCATGCTACTTTTAATTATGAATAGGGATGCAGCAATCCAACACTGATATTGGATATCAGTCCAATACAGACTCGAATAGATATTGTGACAGTGCGGCCAACCTATTCAATTCTATTCTATCTTTATATCTGTGTCTGATGGGAGGTTACTACGTCATGCGTCAGCAGCATGCAGTGAGATCGCATCGCTAAAGGAGCTAAAAACAAACATGTCAACTGTTTAGTATTTATTTTTTAAGTGTATTTGCACTAGTGTAGGTATCGGTATCAGGACTGAACAAGTTGGGTTGGTGCCTCCCTAGTGTCGAAGCGCACACACAAACGCATACACACCTTTAGGTGTGTATGCGTTAACGATGTGTTGGATTTAACAGTTGAATTAGTTACTTATGTTATTGTATTGGGAATAGCTCTTTCTACGAGCCCCCCCACGCCACAGGCCCCACTGCAACTGCACTGCCTGCACTGTCTATATTTACGCCTCTGGTGCAGGGAGGACACCTACCTACAACCACAACTGGCTGTACAGTCTGTGGTTTAAATTTGGTGTTTCTCCCTGTGGAAGGCAGTTATGCACACTAGGAGGGAAGCAGTGAAGCATAGCACAGCCTAGTTTACAGCAGCTCAGAGCAAATGATTCTTCCAAGGTGATTGGCTTCAGAGGACAGCCGGGTACATTGAGTATGTCTATAAAAGCTGCATTGAGGGCAAGGATATGACTGCACTCATAAAGTCCTAACCCCCACCTCTTCTTTCTCTCTTTGTCTCTTTTGTCCCCCTTGCATCCCCAACTCCTCTTGTTACCCTGTGTCCCTCTCTGCAGTCCTACAGCTTCTCCTCATACTCCAGCAATAACCCCCCAGAGAGAGATGTGAGTGTGAGACAGACAGAGAGACATAGATGTATAGTTGTTAAACCCCAGGATTTCTCATCATTATCATTATCACAGTGGCAGTATGTGGCAAAGGTTGACTTGGCTTTCTCGTGGCAGTGTGAGATTTGTAGCTTGGTTGGTTGTTCTTACGTTCGCTGAACATGAAGTCAGAGGCGATGTCGAAGGGCTGGATCTGGGTGTCATACATGGAGACGGTGACGCCCTTCTGGTGGTCGGTCGAGATGAGGGTGAGCGTCTGCTGCGCTAGGCACACATAGGAGCGCCCGGCGGGGGTCACCAGGGCCGACAGGTGGTGGGTGTTGGCTGTGTGCTTCCCAGCTGGAGAGAAAGGAGGAGTTTGACTAGGTTGGTATGGTTAGGGTAAGTCTGCAGGTAATGAATGTACGTAAGTCAATGTAATGTCCCCAAAAGTCATAAAAGTGTGTGTGTGTGTGATTGACCCTCCTGGCCTATGTAAAAACGAGATTCATGCAAATTCCATAATTTGAGAGGATTGCCAATATATAATTATGGGGGATCCATTGTGACCAAAAGCAATAGAAAGGGCAAAATAACCGGAAATACCCCTCCAAAATAAAATACAAATAAAATAAAACAAACTTTAATATAGGCTACTTCAAGCTGAAGATACTATTTAAACGGGTAAATTGTAATTTATAAAAGTTGTGTGGCAAGTTTGTTGGAATAGTTTCGAGACGAAACGTTTTGTTTTTCCCATTGTCATAATAATAAAGGATAATATTGATAATAAAACAACTTTGTATATTTTTATTGGGGTCTTTTTCCTCTCAAAGGCATGCTGTAACGTACCGGGCACATCTAAAATCTGCAATAATTCCAGTGAATTTTTCGATAAACGTGGGCGAAAATGGCGAATCCATGCGTGAATCAACCCTCTAATTCCATCTGAATGCAAATGTGACATGAATGAGAGCAAGTTGCGATCACAGCAGGCGGGATGGAAATGTGCTGAGTGGCTACTGTACACATGGCTCTGCGGAAGACTCACGGTTGTACGCGTTGATGAAATGCGATGTCTCCGAGGTATCATAGACGAACTGAACCTTGCTAATCTTCCACACCTCAATGCCCTTGTCACGGAACTCCTGCAACACACACATACACACACGCGTCAAACTGGGCTCTTCCACTGCATGGAGAGGGCTGGTTGGCCTATACTGAGGAAAAACGCCATCTTGACGAGTCTTTTTAGGCTCCTGTCCACTGTTGAAACATGAATATATTCTGACGATGACTTAATTAACAACTTTAACGACAACATTCCCTCAATTAAAGACATAAAAGCGACATGATTGCATATACGATAAGTATTGGCATTTTATTCAGGGAAAATAATTCAAAATTTGACAGAAATGTGTAACTCAAGATACTGTATTTCCTCATGTCAAATGAAACGAACAATATATTCAAAGTGAATTTGTGAAAACTTATATTTAGGTGATTTATTTGGATGCGTTTGCGTCTTGGTTCTCCCAGCAGATGATTCGGACATTACAAATTGCCTGGAATGAGATAGTATATGCATTATTGTCGCTTCCGACGCTGTCTCGCCCACCTTAGAGAAGTAGATGCGAAGCGTGTAGGCGTTGTTCTTCCAGGTTATGTGGATCTCTGACTCCGTGCTCCCACATTTCCCCTCGATTTCTGCATCACGGGGCAGAGTGAACGCCGCCTGCTCGGTGATCAGCTGCAAAAAGATACAGCAAGCTCGCGAAAAAAGTTGACACAAAATGGACAGATTACGGTTGGTTGTCGGTTGAGGTTTTCTTTAGCATTCCATTTTTACGCACGAATTTACAGTGTAGCCAAATATCCAGATACGGGTGGGATTATTTAATAAATTGTTATTAGAAGCAGAAACAAATGAGATTCAATTTAATCAATGCTTATAAAGTTGGATATCGAAAAATGTATATATATTGATCCAACGACATTAGCATTTTACGCACAACCACACACTACAAAAGCAGTTTCCAAAAACAATTCGTATGTACTCATCATATACTGTCCTTGTTAATAAGAGCAAAAATAGTCGATTAAAATAAATGACAAATTGTTTTTCACACAAAACAAATATTTCTAGTGCTGCAACCAGCTTTACGCACAGCGAAAAGACCATTGTCTTCAACACAAAGCAACATTCGCTGCATCTGCATGCTTGAAATGTCCATTGCGTTTCATTTCTTTTTAACCATCCTCGTGTATTAAAATGCACGGGGATTCCTTACGTCTATCCCATTGAGCGCGAGCACGTCAAATGGCACGAGGAATCTCACGGCGAACTCCACCATCAAGCATGTCGTGCCGTTCTCCCGGACCGCGAAGATGGCTTTGTCTGGGTTGGTGGAGAGACCGGATAGGTTCTCCCCTTCCTGCTCCGCCAGCACCACGGACAGCGCCAGCACACCTGACAACAGAGAAGTTGGAGGTGGGGGCACTTATGTCAGCGGGGTAACAGATGAGGCACACACGCACACCAAAACATGCAGAGTCAGCAGAAACAGCGACATCATGGTTGTACTCTTAGTTTGGCTCACACCTTTAGATCACTGGCATGTCACCTTTTGTTTCCTCACGGCAAAGTCGAAATCAGGTGAAAACACCGTGAGTCTGCAATCTGCAGTATCAGGGGAGCAACAGCACGCCACTGGCTGCAGTCTCAACCACGTCAGAAAGTGATGAACTGCAACATGTTCCAACGACATTTATATATATATTTGAAGAGGAAAATAACCGGTGAAATATGCCAGAACTCAGAGACTCTGTCATGCCTTAACACGCACAGCAGGTGCACACGCACGCATGCACGCACCCACACACACACACTCACTGCAGTAAGGAGTCACGACAGCTGCACATTCACACGCACACGCTCCCTCTCTCTCTTACCGAACACGCCGAGCAGCAGAAGCCGGGCGCTCTCCGTGGTGCTGAAACCGAGTCGTCCCATCGCTTTCAGCTTCCCCAGCGCTGTAAAAAAAGGGGGCTAAATGACTGGGCAGCCTGTGCTGAACCCGCGACAAGAAAAGAGAGACAGAAAAGCAGAAGAGGGAGGCGGGAGAGGAAGAAAGGAAAAGAGAGAGAGGAGGGATTCCTCTGCTCAGCGCCCAGTAGTCACGCTCAGATCATCGTGAATGCAGCAAAACATGACTCCAGTTTGGACGTGAGATCCGGGTTGCTGTGCAGAAGCAGCCGGCTCCGAGGACTTCTGGCCGTCCTAACAGACCGCCCTCTCCCCTCTCCAAGGTTGACGGGGTTTAACCCAGTGACAGCTGCAGGACTGAGCTCCGTCAACACATCATTAGCACCAGGAATAATGATCCTTCTTGAAAGAAAAAGTCCGTCACCTGAATTTGTCTCTTGTAAGGACTCGGCCACCGTCTTAAGTTATTCCCGCAATGCTGTAGTCTCCATCTCTGTGGTAGCAGCTGTAGGTTGGGCTGAAATGATGTATGTCTGGAGGGAAACGCCGACAACACCCCCTCCCTCCCTCTCTCAAACTCTACTTCTGCAGGGTTGCAGCTGAGAGTTAGTGAGAATGAGGGCTGATAAAAATCACTTAGACTTAAAATCTTATTTTTTAAATGTGTTCAATGGAGTGAGATTCTATATAATTTATTCTACAAATAAACTTGTCTCGTTAGAAAACGTTATGGCACAAGTGAAACTGGCACTGGAACCACTAGGGCAGAATTTGTGTATTGCTTTACGAATCGTAATTTTGGTACTAATTACACACTCGCACACTAATGGCACGTGCTCGGCTATAAACCAAACTCCGCCATCAGAGAACAAAAACGACATGCAGAATGACAAACTGACCCTTTTTGATAATGACGTAAATACTCTTCACCATACTGTCCCCTGATGGAGGCTCTCTCATTCTCCCTCTCTCTCATCCAACACAGGAGACATGTTCATTTCAGATTTTGAGATTTTATTAATCGATTAGAACCTTTCAAATCAGTAATTGAAGAAGGCAGACCATCTGACAGAAATCATGTGCTGAAAGAAACAGAAACATATGCAAGATGGTAGCACAACACAAATATGCTGTATTCAATAATTCAGAATTTCTGATCACCCCTCCACCTTCGTGACCCCCACCCTCTCCAAAAGGAGTGGCAAATGCTGCTGAACACCGGAGCAAAAGAGCACATGTACTAAAACTAGAAGTTACACATTGCGTTTCACTCTGTAGCAGAATCCAACTGGAAGGTGCTGGCATCTACGCACTTTACGCATAGTAGTCTGAGGTGCTGTCGATTTTTTAGTTATTCAGATAGTTTAAAATCCGTTTTGGTTCGTTTTACTCGCGTTTTAGTTTGTGAAATGGCAGAAACGTTTGCAGGACGGATATACTGTCATCACTCTATTGTTGAGAGCTTTAGATATAGATGGTGTTGAGATTAGTGGCCGATACGGATAAACTCTTTTTTACGCATGGGGCACTTTGGTTTTCATTTCAGAATGCCAAACTCGCACTTGACCGAGCTGATGCTTTCGATGCCGAGTTTACTGTCCACCTGGGGATGCTTTATTCCCCGAGGAAAAGTTTCTGATTGCGGAATCCGCCCTGAAGTCAACGTCGGATTCTCCTTCAATTCTTTTGCGCCGGTTTTAAACTCCGGGGAGGTAAATCTGCGTAAGAGTTTGTTGCTCAACATCGAGAAAGTCGTGGTTGAATTAGCGACAGTTGGTGCGGTAAACAGAGGAGGTTCCGCGTTGCAGGGAGACGCTTCTCGCCTCCTTATGGTTCTGGATTTACGCACGGGCACCAGTGTGCGGTCCCGAGGCGTGGGAATGAGGATACTGGTTGGCAGACTACATCTTTTCTCATGAAATCTACACGCACAGTAGTCTGACATTTTTGAGTTTTCTGTCCCTGGTTTATTCTCTCTTTTGTTGGAAATAATGGGAGCCAGTAAGATGTCCAGGGCAGAGGGCGCGCTGGGCTTGAGGGTACTGGGTGAGAAGAAAATCGATTTTTGAGCCTCGCAGCTCTGTTTAAGAGGGGGGAGATGGTCATCTCCTGTTTTAGGATGCTTATAGTTTTGAGACTGGTCGGAAACCTGCGGAGGGGCTTTAGGGGTTAGGATTTCGGAGAATACCAGCGCTTGTGGAGGCGAGGAAGAGCCGCCATTCTCTCTTTCAAACTCATCTATTGAGTCCATCGATGCCAACATACTCTGCTTTACCCGTGGTCTTGGTTGCCAGGTACAATTTTGAACCAATAGACAATCTGTATGATTACACGTTTGGAGGTCCTCAAGTGTATTCACTAAATGTCCAACTCTGCTCTCAAACTTGTCATTTCCATCACCACATCCTAAACTAAGTCGCGTCTGCGGATTTCCCTGAGCGCCTCCCTCATCCTCCCGGCCCTTCCTGGAGTTGTGAGTGAGCGCAAAGATGCACTCTGTGTGGCCGAGAAACTTCGCCACTTCAACAGCAGAGTTGCCAACTTTATTCTGCCGGTCTATCCGAAGACCCAGCCTCTTGAAAGCTCTCACCAAAAACTCAACCACAGGGGAGTGACCTGCTACGGCGGCGTACATTAGCGCGGTGTTCTCCCAGGCGTCCACAATCTCCGGGTCTGCATTGTTTCGGACCAGGATCTTCACAGCGTCCAGGTAGCCCTTCTCACAGGCGTAACTGAGCGCGGTGCGCCCGTTGCCGTCCCGACAGTTGACACTGGCCCCATTCTGCAGCAAAAGCTCTGCAGACTTACACCGAGTATTACTATCAGGCAGCAGGATAGAAGAGATGAGGGGGGTCTGTGCGCTCTCCGTTCTGGAGTCCACTATTTCCCCATCCAGCGCGTCCAGAACGAACCTGGCCAGGTGGACTTTATCCTTTGACATCGCCTCCAGGAGGATCTTAGTGCCGGTTTGCCCATCGGACTTCCCCTGAGCCTTGAGCATGATTTTGAAATGGATCAAAAACCTATCGGAGTAATGTCGTCTCTCTATAACACAGAGCAGGTTTGGAAACCCTTTCCCAGAAACGAGTGCTGACAACACAAACTCATTACCTCTGTTATATAGTGAAGAGGGAAGCCATCGAGTTGCCGGGCAACACTGCGCTTTGTTCCCCTTTCTAATGGAAATACGTTGCTTATAATGACAACAAGGAGCTTCCGCGCTGGAGCCGCCTGTGTAAAAAAAGAGTGGATGTGGGATATTAATTAATCCTGCACTTGTTGAATGTGATTAGTCAGCAGTGGTCATTGTTTGGGAAATAAGTGCGCGGGCGGTGTGTGTGCGCGCTGCGCTTGTGTACATCTGGCCTCCGCACAGCGTGTCCCCACTCGAGACGTTTTCAATGCAAAGTCATCCGATGTCAGAAGGGACCAGACCGACGGGATGAACAATATTGTTAGCGTTAGAATAACGTTTTCATAGAAAAGTCATTGGTGGTGCTGCTAAGGTACACTAAGCCCTTTAGATATTCCGGCTTGCCCCAAACACCAAACTTTATATAACTTTTATATAAAATGTAAAACATGTTTATCTCTTGTTTATCTTAAATGAAACAAATGGATAAACCAAACAGGTTTATGTTGTGACAAATATACAAAACTACAGTTGTTCTTTTTGAGAAACACGAATGAGCCACAAGATTAGTCTCATTCACACCTGGATGTATTGGTACACAAATCATGAAACTGTATTCAAATAACTAACAACCACATTTTCATTGCTTTACGTTCATCAATACAATATTAATACAAACAAGCTCCAGTTCAAAGAGGAAACGATATCAACTGAGGAAATCAAATCGGTGACTTGCTCTGCAAAAATAATTGACTTTTTTTGAGAAACCCAAGATCTAAAGGTTACAAGTAATCGCAGTATCCCACTCATAATCCTAGTGAACAAAGGGAACGTCTATCCAGCGACAGCAGGCTTAATGTCTCTGGGTTGTACAGGGCCATCAGCGGTGGAGTGTTTCTGCGCGTGCGTGCGTGCGTGCTTCTCGGTCTCAGTTGCTCACACCACCGTGGTAGGTCTGCAATCCATCTCCTCTTCCAACTTCCCCACCCGCTGCATGCCCATGGCCTTCGAGGAGACAGAAAATACAGATACGGACAGTAAATGCACACATGAAGCACCTGCAGAAGAACATGTGCAATTTTGATCTTTTAGCTAAAGTTCTGAATGTACTATTGCTCATCAGTTTATCAGTAAGCGGTTATTTCCTCTATATATTAGGGTATTTCCTTGCTTACCACAAGCTTAGCAGGCAGTAGGAGACCTGTGTTCAAGACGGCTGTTTGTGTCCCAAACTTACGTTAGTGATGGTTGTGACGTGTTTTCCGTACTATGTTACATTATTTACATTTTAATTAGTTTACATACATGATGTTTTTCCTAAACCGAAGTGTTGACTGCGACCGGGCTAACCGGTGCGTTTAGAAAGTGACACCAAGGGGTCTGACAAAGCGTCAGTATTTGGAATGAGAGCATGCTGGTGACGTAATTGTTGCAATGTCTGCAGTGTGACTCTGTCACATACTATGAAAGCAAATGATTCTGAGCTGGAGTGAAAGCACAGTGGGGCAGGTTGTGTGCTGGCTGTTTTTCTGCTTAGTAATAGCTGGTGAGTCATGGTGATAAATGACTCAAGCTGCTCGTTGGCACCGCTGACACCCTGAGAGCTGCAGACTACTAATGTGGGAATGAGATTCCACAACACAAAGACAAGTGAATGACTTTATTTCCTGTTTTTATATCTTGCATTCTCTTCAAAGGCAGATTGTGTACTATTTCTCTGCTTTAGTCAGTGAAGTTCGTGGTGATTCACCTCAAGAATGGTCATTATAGTGGTTATTTCAATATAACAGGAAAATACCAATTTTTACAGGCTCAGCAGAAAACTGAGGCTATGAAAAAAAGGAGTAACATAAGTGAGAGGTAGAAGGGAAAGAAATGTAAGGATGATGCACTGACAGACGGGAGGTATCAGAGTAGAGTTGATGGAGATGCCTACATTGTGATTTCAAAAGCAAATCATATAAAAAAAATTAAACATACCGTTTTCATGCCATTTCTTGACATACTATATTATGACCTTTGTATAACATACTCAGTGCTATATTATGACTTTTTAATTCGACATACTAAACTATGACTTTCTTTAAAAACATACTGTGAATTTGTCACATTTTTCAACATAGTATATATTACTTTTTAAAACGTGTGTATGTATATGTGTGTGTGTGTGTGTGTGTGTGTGTGTATATATATATTTTTTTTTTCTGATATATTTGACATAGTAAATCTTTTTTCATGACTTTTTTTACTTGCTGTATCATGACTTTTTGACATGCTACTCTTTTTGATATGCTATACTATGACTTTTTTCATGACTTATTGAAATACTACACAATGACAAATTATTTTCCATGACATAAGTCATATTTACACCATGGCTTTTTTTATGACGTATTACATTATGACTTTTCTTACATACTACACTACTACTAAACCCATGACTTTCTAAATTACAAACTTACTATATAGTATAGCATAAAAAAATTCTGGTTAGCCCCAAATACCACACTTAATCTTCCATATACAATGACATTATTGCTGGCTGTCTCAAATTTAATAAATGGAACCGGGAAAAATAAATGACTTACAATTGTACTTTGAAGAAACATAACTGAGCCCCACAGGGTTATGTCCCATTTTACACCTGGATTTATTGGTACACATACTATAAAACAGTATTAAAGGAGCTGGATAACAACAGTATTTTCATTGCTTTAAGTTCAACACAATATAAATACAAAAACACGCACAGAATGGTTTGTTGACAAGCTACAGTTCAAATAGAAAACAAAGAGGAGATGCAGTATAAACTGAGGACATCAAATCGGTGACTTGCACTGCAAAAATAATCGGCTATTTTGACAAACTAGAGAGCCAAAAGTTACATGTAATCACATAACGGAAACATTCAACTAGTGCAAAAAAGCCTCTAACAAACATAATAATCTTAAACTACACTATATCTAATATATATATTCATTTATATATATATATATATATATATATATCTTCATATAAATAACCCCTTAATTTGGCATTTTGTCATTCATAAAATAATTTTACCATCCTAACAGACACCGAGTGGCACATTTGAAAGCGATGGAATAAAATTTAAAAGCACTTTTTACTCGTTTGTCTCTGCACTAGATATGTGGTGAGAGCTTTATACTGTGTTGTGTGGTGCAGTGAGGGCCGACTTAAAAAACAGACAAATAGATAACAAAGAGGAAAACCTAGTGGTTGATAAATGTCTTTCCCCAACATCCAACAGACCCACTCCACCCCCTGAGCCCTTGTATGACAAAAAGTAAATTAACTACATACATTCCAGTATATACAAGAACATCCCATCGACCCTTTTAAGTGTGTTACAGCAGGAGAATACAGAAAAACGTTTAACAAGGCCAAAATACCTCAAGATGCTTTTATCCCAATGTTTGTTTTTATATCATGATGACTTTTGGTCACTTTGTTAGTGGTGTGCCATGCAATGTGAATGCCTGGCATGATCATATGTGCACAAAATGCTAGTACCCAAAGGATTACTTCATAATAGTGCTTCATCCCACATTTCTTTCTCTGCAGTGGCTTTTTGTCAGCGTCACCAGGGCTGTGCACAATCGTGCTTCCTTCAGCCATCTGTAAGTCAGTGGGAACCCGTTTGGGACACAGACGGATACGGGCCTCGTGTGGAACGTGTGTGGCAAGCCATGTCACAGGCTTTGTTATTCATTCTGGGGAAACAATGAGGATTACAAGCTGAGGTTGCTGTCGTGCAGTCAAGAAGCTATTAAGGGAGCACTTCATTTGAACAACGCCTTTAATGAGCGGGACGCCGACTAGACGAGGTGGCTTTGACTTCTGTCTGAAAAAGTTCTAGTCTGGTGGTGACGTGCTGGTCAACTAACACAATGTATTACAGTGCTGCCAAGAGTGGATTCATTTAGTTAACCCATAATGCAACAGTTTCATTTAATGTAGTGATTTAGTCCACCTTAACCTTAATTTACTGGTAGATGTCCCTTTTATTAGATCATCATATTGTCAATGAGGTTTGGAACTACTCATGTCGTTGCTTTGGTTTGTAGTGATCAACAAAAAAACCCATTTTGTTACTATTGCTGTATTGTTTTTACCGATACTCCTCTTGGTCTCTTTGTACACCTTGAACTTAGAGGGAATCATGTTTGTTTTTTTGCATAGTATACATGATTTTGAAGAGTATAAAATGAGTTTTGCAGGTGTAAACTTGAACAAAATGACTCGCATGTTACTTTCAAGTAAAAGTTTAGGACTGCAGTTACACAATCTCTTGGGTATTTCCTCATAATTAAAACATCATTTGACAGGGCCATAATAAACATCTATCCATCATGATCCCTTTATAGTTTTCTGACTCAGCAAGATAATAAGCCTTTTATATTTGGCTGTTACATGAACAACAAAAGTCCGCGATACATCTTTGTGTAGTCACAACTTGCATCGTAGGTACCGGTGACACTCGGGGTTTGCCACTCCATACAGTGATTTCTTCTTTTTAAAAAAAAAAAAAAAAAAAATACATTCTTACTGAAATACAGAACCTACAGTAGTGCACTGCTACATTTTCCACATTGTTATGATCACATACAAGGTGCTCAGGACAGGACTGGTGTGTAGCATACAGTGTATTTCACAAAGTTCTTCATTTTTGCTGACATGACATTAATTTTTCTACGTATTCTTCTCCCCTCTTCCACACTATTTCTGGAGTGCTTAATCGGGTACCGATTTTGTTTTAAGAAATCAAAAAAAAAAGTAAAAATGGAAAGTGTGTGTGTGTGTCCACCAATAGCTGCAGCTTGTGAAGGATGCAGAGAACATTGAAGGTGATCTACATCCAGTGGAGGAGGGGATACATCTGATTCTGTTGCTTCTCCTCTCTCTCTCTCTGTGGTTAAACCCCCTGTCAAACAGTGATAAGCACCAGTGGCTCAGTGGTATACAGTTAGTGCGTGGGGGTAAAGGTGCAGAGGGCTACTGTGTGTGAGTGACAGAATAGCACAGAGAGATGTAGGCAGGGTTAATGTCTCTGGGTTGTAGAGGGCTATCGGCATGTGTGTGTGTGTGCTTCTGGTCTCAGTCGCTCACACCACCGTGGCAGGTCTGCGGTCCATCTCCTCCTCCAACTTCACCATCTGCTGCATGTCCTTGGCCTTCCAGGAGACAGAAAGCACAGTTAGACAAACGCACAGAAACTAAATGCAGACATGTAGCACTTGAAGAACCATATTTTGTCTCCAGATTTCACATGTGCAAGTTTGATCTTCAGTTACAGTGCATGGATTTGCATTAATATAGTGCCTTTTTAAAGGTCTGAGGGCTCATCAGTTTGTCAGTAAGAGATTATTTAGATTGTGCTTTTCCTTGCATACTTCTGCAGGTAATATAAACCCCATTGTTAGTAGGCAGTGACACGTAATTGTTTCCACAAAATGTCTGCAGTGTGACTGTCACATACTATGAAAGCAAATGATTCTGAGCTGGAGTGAAAGCACAGTGGGGCAGGTTGTGAGCTGGCTGTTTTTTTGCTTATAGCTGGTGAGTCATGGTGATAAATGACTCAAGCTGCTCGTTGGCACCGCTGACACCCTGAGAGCTGCAGACTACTAATGTGGGAATGAGATTCCACAACACAAAGACAAGTGAATCACTTTATTTCCTTTTTTGCTCTTCAAAGGGCAGATTAGCGGTGAACTATTTCCCTGTGGTAAATCACTTCAAGAATGCTCATTATAATGGTTATTTAAATAACAGCAAAATACAGATTTACAGGCTCAGCACAAGAATCAGGATATAGAACAAAGGAGTAACATAACTGAGGTAGAAGGGAAAGACATGGAAGTGATGCACTGACAGACGGGAGGTTTCAGAGGCAGAGTTGAGTGGGATGGAGATGCCTACCTTGAACCTGTTTGTTTGCATGGTGTGATTTCAAATGCTGTGCCGGAAAAAGCAAATCATATTAAAAAACGAATGAATACATGTGAGACACGTACAGGTAATGGAGTGTAGCAGATGGCAAAATAAAATGTACAGATGGAGATACGAGACCATCGTATGCCAAGTGAACTTTACTTTCTATTTGTTGTGTACACTTAAAGCATGTAGGGCAGAGAGACGGTCCCGACAACTGATAATGAATAAATAGTTCAATACAATGTCATCCTACTGTATGAAGAGACATTGTGCATTTTGACTTTGCGTTTGTCTGTAGAGCCTCTTGAGGCAACTCTGACCAGATATATATGTGGAACACTTCCTGCTAAACTAATTACAGTTTACATCAGATGACGGAGACTGGAGCCATGATCTGAGGGAGAAATCAGCCAGAGAGCTTTTATTTACACTTAAAAACCCAGTGGAGCTCAAAGGTACCATAAACTGAGAGGTGTTCTGGTTCATGCAGGAAGTGGGTCTAATAAATGCTGTGGTTGAACATGATCAGCAGTTGAGATGGAGACCAGCAGGCAGCTGACGGCAGACATGCCCGTTGTCTTCAGTCAGTTCTTCTAAGATATGCGGTTTATTGGCTGTAAGGTTCAGTTTCTGTTATTGGTCCTACCTGCTCGTTGAACTTCTCCAGTTTCTCCAACTGTTCTCTCTGGTTTTTCTCTAGCTGCTCCATCTCCTTCTGATGCTTCATGGCCAGCTGCAAAAACACCAGGGACACAATATTACACTCATTCTGTTGCTGTTTAGTACTATGAATAAATAAGAATGTATGAATCTCTTTCTTTAGAAAGCTGGAATGTCTCTTTGCATTTTTACTGTAGGAGTAAGACACGGTAGTAGCGATAGTTTGCCAAAACTTTTGTACGATATCAATCTGTTATGCATTAAAATGGGAGAATTCTTGGTGTATTCTTTAAAAAGTCAATTTAACACAACCTACCCTCTTCCTCTCATCCAGGAACTTCTTGGTGTTGCTGCTGTTTAACTCTCGTACTCTCCTAAATATTACAAAGAGCAGGACAACGGTTTAAAAGCCGGGTCAACCTCCTGATTACATGATAATAAATGGATAACGTATACACGTGTGACCCACCTCTCTCTCTCTGCCTTGTTTTTTATGGACTTGTCCTGGCTAATGGCTTTGCTGTTTTCCATGGACATCTTGGCCTGGTTGGCACGCATGTCTTTGCTATGCCTAAAATTGAGGAACAAAGAGCCACATGTACTGTCACAAACGACCTGCTTTTACAGCAAAGGTTTAGCAACTCCCAGGGTCGCTGCCCCTTCTGGGTCTGGTCCCCTACAGTAAATACATGTATACTGTCCACATGTGTTTGAAACTCTCACCGTTCATGGATGAGTTTTAGCTGCATGGTCTGCTGCTCCTGGACGGTGGTCAGGAGTTTCTTGAGGTGTTCGCACTGCTGAGTGACGTGGCTGTCCTTCATCTCCTGCTCCTCGCTGCTGTGACTGCTAATCAGCTCTGACCACTCTTTAGTGTGCTGTGCTGTGATTTCCTTTACCTGCAACATGCACACACACAAGTTACAGACGCACACCTCAGTCGATTGTCCACATCTGAGGCACTTTGTCATCTTCACAGCTAATGACTGTGTAAAGGTTTCTGATTTTTGGGGTGAGAAGTTTTGCGTTACCTTGACTTTGTGATCGGCGATCAGTGTTTGGATCTTATCCTCCGTCTCTTTCTTCAGCTCCTGGCAGTTGTTTTCCCTGTGAGGAAAAAATCTAATCCATTTAAAACCATGTGCGTTTAAAGGGATGGTCGAGGTTCCTAAGAGGCCGGTCTTGTTGATCTTAAGCTAAAGGCCTTTTGGGTTTAACAAAAGCTTGTGTGAAAGTTTTGTGCTTGGAATTGAGCCGGAGGAATAATGTTGATTTAACATCAGTCTCATGAACGCGAAGAAAATTTGGTTGAATATTTGACATACTAATGTATGACCTTTTTGACCTTCTAAACTGACATTTTTGTCACATACTACTGTGACTTTAACATACTATAACTTGTATTCATGACTTCTTTCTATAACAGTACAAAGACTTTCTCGACATACTATATAAAGATGGTTTTTTCTCACATACTATAACTTGACTTTTTTTTCATTACATTTTTCGACATACGAGTATTTTATGATTCAAGTTTTTTATGACATACAATATGAGTGTGCATTTTTCCATAAACATTAAGACTTTTTAATGACATACTATACGATGACTTTTTGGTTACTATATTACGTATTCCATGACATTTGATATATCAGGCCTTTTTTTCAACATGACTTATTTCATGATATGTTTTGACAAACCTGGACAATGCAATTATCTCTATGCATGGATGATACATCTTGGATTTCTTTTTTGTTGAACATGTGTTTTGAATTACCCTCTCTTCTTGATGGCTTTCTCTAACAGCTTCTCCTGGGTTGTCTTCTCCTTATCATGCTGAGACACCATCTTGTCTACCTGGGTGCAGTGGGCTTTCTGCATTGTATTTTGATCCTATTGGAAAAAAGAACATGTATTAGTTTAAGTATTTCTACTGTGGAAATGCAGTTGTAACCTATACCCACCTCCTCCATGAACAATATGAGAATTAAGCCTAAAACATGTATATTGTAGCAAAACAGGCAGCTTCAATACAAAACTATGATTTAAAAAAAAACATTGATGCTTTTGTCTATATTCAGTCAACAGATGGAGACTGGATGGTACTATTATACATGGGTTATGCAATAGGACTTAATACGATGATAATTGTTGAGCCAGCTTCCGCCACGCTCTCTATGGTAAGCTGTGGTCAAAGGAAAAGCAGCTTTAGCAAGTCTAATTTCTAACAAATCATTAATTATGTGGCTGCATTTATGCATGTTTGTAATGAACAGATTGTGTAAGCAGTGGTCAGGGGGAGATGAAAGGAGGAGCCGTCCCTCTGAACATCAACGGCAGCCTCTCACCCACCTTTGACTGTTTCTTCTTTAGAGTGTTGAGCTCCTTCTGCTGCTTTTTAATCAGTTTAAGGAACGTCTGTAGTGGGAGAGAAATGTATTTATTGATCTTGTGCAAGTCATGTTGAGAATAGTCTTTGAGGCACAATAGCTGGGCATCAGTAGTTATCTTATGAGATCACTGTTGGTTCAAAAGGGGGTTACAGTAGTTTAATTTGACATGCTTTTTTAGGGCAAAGTGTGTGGACAGTTCTTCAAACAGAAACGTAAAGTGAGCTTTCGTTGTACATTACACCAATATCACCATTTAGCAATAACACTGAAATACTGCTTTGTAAATATTTATAGTTAACTGATAAAAGCAAACATTCTTGGTACTTAATTACGCAATAATAAACAATTACTGCATTATTACTTAACTCTTCCACATTTACTAAGTCTTACAGACTGAGCCGTAGCAGCCTTGCTGTGGTGTTTGTTTACCAACCTTCATTAGTTTTAAGTCATCAATGCTGACATTAGGCACGAGTGCATTATCTGAAACGGCAGAGAAAAGTCCAGTTTAATTCTGTGTGCACAGTGTACACACGTCTGTTTAAAATGTATATGTTTTACGTCGGTACCTACCCTTCTTGGTTTCTGCTGTGTTGTTTTGGGCGGAGTTGGAGTTCTGGGCCATGTCTGAGCTGGTCTGCGGTGTCACACTGGCCTTCACAGTGTCTCCTTTACCCTTTCCCTTCTTGTCGTTCTTTGAGCTTCCACTGGGAACGTCTGCTATGTCGTTCTACAAAAGGGAAACGATTCACTTGGTTGGTAAGGGACACTGTCTTTATTGTATGGCTGCAGGTATATCTGGGTTAAAAGCTTAGCTGTGGGAGTTAACACAGGTATGAAGCTTCACATGTGGTTGTCATCGTGTACCGTGTCAATCCCCAACGCCTTCATCTGGTCAGCTCTTTTTTCTGCTATGGTCAAGAACTTCTTTGGGTCCGACAGGGCATCCACGATGGCTGCAACACACAAAAGCATTTGTTAGTTTATCGTAAAGGGAGAATAAAAGATTAATTAATAAATCAGTGGGTTGAGGGATTGTTTTTGAAAAGAAGAAAATAATTAAAAATAAAGAAATCTCAGAGAATACACTTTTAGGAGCCGTCTGATATATTCAAAATTATATTTATTTGGACTGTAGTAACCAAAATGTTATTTTCAATTGAGAAAGGTAGTAAACAAAGTGAGTTATATTTGATGTCTGTTCACACAGATCTATCCTCTCTTGCAGGATTAATCACTGCCTCATCATGCTGAGAGAGTACGCTAGTCTAACTGGCCCTGGGGAAGGATCTAACTTGTTTTAATAAAACTGTTTGTAAAAATGGATTCTTTTCGTAATACAGTGCTGTGTGTTTGGCAGGGAAGTGATTCTAGCAGCAGAACTTATAGAAGAAAGCTAATGGTTCCTCAGCGCGAGCCCCTTGGCTTTATTTAATGACGACTCCAATTGTCCTACTCATCTGTATGCTTGTGCCTGTTTTAAACTGTATTACTGCAGATTCACTGTCATCATTTGCACCATGCCATTACTCTGACTGTTTAAACCAACCCAAGGCTGAGAGGAAGTGAGCGGGAGAGAGAGGTGCCCTGCTTCCTCTCCTCCCTACAGGCCACAGAAACAACTTTATTATCAGCCATGAATAAACCGAGAAGTAAAACAAAGTGTCAGTATGAGACAAACTATTACTTCTGCATTTACGAATCGAAGAACGAAAAGCAATATAAAGTTTATTGTAAGTATGTTCACGTTGGCCTCACCTCCGAAGCCATCGGGCACGTAGGTCTTGAGGATGATTTGGCAGAAGATGGTGGGCAACGACAGGGGCTTGTTGCCCTCGTTCCTCAGCGAGATGTGACGGTAGCCAGCTTGCAGGCCGTCCAGAGGCAGGAGGCGCTGGCCAATCAGCTTGTTGTTGTCGTCGTAGACGCCGATGCGCAGTACTGCCAAATCCGGTAAGATCACCTGGGTGGGAGGGTGGAGAAGGAGCCACAATAAAGGAAAAAAAGATGGGTTGAGGAACAGGGCACGACAAAAAAAGTGACAGTTCGGAGTAGGTCATCAGCCCTGTGGGAAGTCTACTTCCAGGAATGCATTCTGCTATGAAAACAAACTACTTCGCAGCCATTACAGTAAAATGCTCTCTTTTCGAGCTAAAGCAGAAACGGCATCAGAAGGTCAAGGATGAAACTGCAGGGGACACTATCGGGACGGTCAGTGTGGTACAGGAAGAAAGGCATGATAGAGCAGCAGCACGCAGCATATCTGACTACTGACAAGGCCATCTCCACCGCTAGCACACATACAGGGAGTGGAGTAAATCATGTGTGTGTGACGTTTGTGTCTTTGAATGTGCTTGTGTGCACACACCCTTGGGGGGAAAAAAAAAAAAAGAGCGAGAGTCTCAACTGGCCTTGTGTGTGGAGATAAGTGAACGGCGAGAAGAGGGTGATAAATACCTAGACGAAGAGGAAGGTAAGCGATAAGACCGAAGAATACTCACGAGAGATGAAGGGGTGGGAGCGCCTACGCAAACTTAGCCTGGCTGATGTACTGTATGGGAGTGCTGCTGGTGTGTATTCGCTCTGAGTCATCTTGACAGGGCTGTATATGCATGCAAAAGGTGTAGCAGCATCTGAGGGCGTTTGTGTCTCTTTGAGTGCGTGTAAAGATGTGAGGAACGAGCCTTGCCAGCAGCTCTGCTTGTGATGCCCCTCTGAT